TTTCAACAGTGGGGTGTGCCAGGGAAAAGTACTGGAGGCTGGGAAGGAGTCTGGCCTTTGGGCTGTGTCCAGCTCCCTAAATGACTCCTGCATTTTCAAATACTTCTATGACTGACATTCTGCAGTTGCTACACAGTGCCCATTTAACCTTTTCTTTTTATCCACCGCACTAGATAAAACCCATAAAAACCACGTTTTACATGGTAAGCGTGCATTCTTCCACTGAACAAAGGCCCCAGCCTTTGAGCCTCCTTCGAGAAGGTGCTACTTCCCACAGAGACTAGGAGTTCGAATGCCCTGTCTTCCTTGAGAATTCATCTCAAGGAACGCTCTTAGGTCATTAAGAAATACAGTCCCCACCTGTGAAATTGGTCAAAGATCTTTTCAAAAGACTTGGATTTGATTACCAAGGATTACCAAGAACATTTCCCAAGTCTAAAAGTTTCCTTCCCTGTCATTGGGAAGAAGTGTTTCTACAGGTCAGTAAGGCCAGAGAAGGTTAGGCCATCTAGGTCATCCTCAAGATACCATTATTCTCAAGGCCTTTTGATGGAAGAACCTCAGGGGCCCTGGCTTGCCAGAGAGCTAATGGAAACAAAGAAATGGAACTTACTAGCCTCACTCTGAAGCTTGAACACACACACACACATACACACACATACACATGGAAGTGCACTTTCTGGCTTGTCCTTAGCTTATTACTGGGGTTCACTAATATATAGTATGAATTTAGTCCGTTCTAAATCCATAATCAAAACTAGCTGGTGGGTGTGGTTCTCTTACCTGGGGAGCAGTGAAAATGCCTTGCATCAGAGATCAGGAGACCCAAGTTTTAACCAAGTAACAAGTTTCTCAGCTTTCTATTGTTCTGACATCACGACTACACACTGGTGAGGCACACATGCTCTGTCTGCCTCCAGAAGCGGGGGTGGGGGGTGGGGGGAGAACAGCGTTTAGTGATATGCGTAAAGTTAAACAAAGAACTATTTTTGCTGTGCTCAGAGAGGAAAAGAAAAAGCATCATTTTACGTCATTGTAAAGTAACAAATAATTAACTTTAGTAAAGTTAAAAATGTCTGCAGAAAATATGATTGAGAAAAACTGACTTCCACTAATGTATTTTTCCTTGATTCATTCTTTAATAATAACAATCATAAAATAAAGGATTTCTTATTGAAGCTGTCTATGTCTGATAAAATTACACTTCTATAGTAAAAGCTTTACAATTTATTGTTTCTCTAATTCTTACACATAAATTATATATCACAATCAATATAACTTCATTTCTTCCTTAGTCACCATAATTGCTATTCTGTTGTCCATATTTGTCATTTAAAATTGTTTTAAATACTTTTATTACATTGTATTTATTTATGTACACATGTGTATATCTTTTTTTCAACATGGGATTGAACTCTGGTTGTCAGTCTCGGCAGCAAGTGCCTTTACCCACTAGCATCTCGTGCTCCGTGCTCCATCAATTTCTTCTTGGCAATGTTGAAAGTTGAAACCATATTAGAAAAAAGCTGCGTCACTGAGAGTCACCCCAGCTGAATCTACTCTTGAAGTACAGAACTAATTGAGGATAAAGAAACGGTACTCTTGAAATGGACTTGAAAAGTCAAACCTTTAGGAGTGTCCTCTACTAAATGCATGAGGTGAGGGTTTTTTGGTTTGTTTGTTTTTTTTTTTTTTTTTGTGCGTGCGGGGGAAATAAATACTGCTCTAAACTTCTGCATAAAAGTAGTAAAGGGAAATTAAAACATGTGATTTTAGAGTCTGCATCTGCATGGTTAAAATCCCAAGAGCAACTGCAGCTAGCCTAGGCATTAGGGAGAGAAATTGCAGAGCTTCATGTTGAATTTACCTTCCAGGCCATCATACACAGTGAGTGGTATAGACTCTGGGTCTGGTGAATTTTGATGTGTGATGTTTTTTATTTGCTTATTCATTACCAAGTTTTTAATGATAAAGTTTATTTAAATTTTTTAAAAAAGAAAAATCATATCAGTCACTTTTTAACAACAGAAGTGTTTTATCACTAATGATAATAATAAAAACCAGATGAACTTTTAGTCTCATTAGTCATTGTCTTGAACGCCTCTGTTGATTCCATTGTTTAAACCTTGGCCCAACCATGAATACGGGTTGCTGAATCCTTTTTTCTCCTGCAACATAATCCCCAAGCAGAATTTTATTATAAGATTATTTTATTTATGCCTTTGTAATTTTCCTACACATTGGGATAAAGAAATTGTGACACCTGAATCCTTGTAACTTCTAGGATCTGGGTCAGCATTAAGTCCAGCCCAGCCTTAATTATTTTGCAGCCTTGTTATTATTCTGCGACAAAAATCTTTCTTACTCCCAGAATCCTCATACTTCGTAACTGAAGAGAACCTACCGGTATGTAACTCCATAACAGACAGCATGTTTTATATTTACAAGGTCTTCGATTCAATCTCCAACACTTGCAAAGATCGAAATTAGTAACAGACTGAATCTATAGTCATTTATTTACTAAAATTGGAAGAAGTACTGAGGATCAAGTTCTGGGCCTCAGACATGTCAGGCAAGCATTCTGTCAAATCCTATCCCCAGCCTGAGGTTGGATCCATGTGGCAGTGGCTAGATCTTATGTGGAGATATTGGAAAGCAGATGGAAAAGAATCTCTGCAGAAACTGCTTCAAGTATTTTGTTTTTTGTCCTTTGAAAGTACAGCATAGGTGCTGGCAGGATTGCTCAGTGCTTAAGGTCGGAGACTACTCTTGTTGTGGACCTGAACGCAGTTCCCATAATCTTTGTTGGATGGCTTACAACTGCCTATAACTCCAACTCAAGGGGTTCCAGAGTTGTTCAAGGGCATCTGTATTTCAGTACATATTACCACCACCACATCCGAGATAAACATACAAAATAATAAAAAATAAATAGATAGATAGATAATTAAATAAATAAATTTTTTAAAATGCAGTTGATTAGACTGAAGAGAGACGTAAACATGACCACCATGACTGATTGTTATTATGATAATGGTAGCTGATTTGGGTGTTTATTATATGGCCGGCACTAAATAGCTTCCATTAAATTTAATCTTAGAGAATTATTGCAGTGCTGGAAGAATGCCACTCAGCCTCAGCTGCCATCTGTCCAAAATGGCAAGGTGACTCAATAACTGCCAGCTTTCTGATGTGCCCACCTTGTCATTCAGGTCCTCCCTGATCCAAACCCATCCTATGAGAAGTTGTCCTTCTAGACATCCTCCTTCCCCCCAATTCTTGATGCTGGGGATTTGACAGCAGTAGACCTCCAGCCTTTCCCTTTCTGTTTCCTCTTCACTGTTAAGGAAAATTTCCCCACACAGATTCAAAGAGAAGAAGACTTTATTGGAGACTTTTATGGTAGGGAAGAGAGAACAAACTGAGTTTCTCTGAGACCGATGGAAGGAGAGTTTCTAAACTGGTGAGAACGTACTGAACGATTTTGGGGACAGCTGTTCAATGTGATTAGGCCACTTGTGTCTGTTAACGAATAATTTGGGGAGGTAGTCTTCTGTTTTCCCACACTACAGAGGCAAAGATAATTCGGGATCCTCTCTTCCTCAATGACTCCATTTCCAAGAAATGGCTCATGGGCCCTTAGTCAAGCTAAGAGAAAATGGGAAATGTTCCCACTGCCTGGGTGGGTGCTGTTGCTTCCAGCCAGCCTGAGAGAGGCTAGTCCACGTACATTAACATTATTACAAGCTCTGTTCTGTTAAGATTTTAAGTTTTATTTACGTGTATGTGTGTGACTCTATGTCCCATGTGCACTAGTGCCTGCGAAGGCAGAAGGGATCAGAGCCCCTGCAGCTGGAGTTCCACGTGCCTGTGAGATGCCCGCCGTGGACACAGGAAACCAAACTCAGATCTCAGCTCCTGAGCAATCCTCTCTCCAGCTCTCTATTACTCTCTTTTAAGCCGAGAAGTCAGGTTATGATTTTTAAATTCACTTCCTTGTTCTGAGCATAACTGTTCTTATTCTACCGGGAACTATGGGCTGGCACAGTGCCTATACCCTGAACACACCTCCTTTTGCTGCCCCAAGTAATCTGGACTTTTCCTTTCCTTATCTCCGTTTATGAGATTATTTAGAGGAAAAAAAATCCATAAAGAGCCACCCTTTCAAATTAAAGAGCAAAGTGCTGGGTGGCTAGAGAGATTTCACGGTGTTCCAGATTCCCAACCCTGTTTTCCTACCTGAATCAACTGATTGACATTCAAGCCCCACCTTTGCCCCACTCCCTCATAACTCACCATGAATGACTGAGAAGCTGTGACTCAGCTGCAGAGGTCTGGAACCGTGTTGTCCTTAATGACTTCCTGCCCTTCCTCCCCTAAGGGGCGTCTGGCAATAAACCATTTCACATTCATTGAAAATGAAAGACTCCTTCTCAGTTAAGAGATCCAATAATCAATCAATACTTCATTAGGGACAATTACAGAAAAATACTGCTGTTTAAAAACACACATTTTTTTCCAGGTTCCCAATCCCCAATGAACTGCATTGTATACCCTTTTATAAAGTCTAAAGTTTAGTTCCATAATCTTACAAATTGTTATTGCCCTGGCATTGTTAACAATAAATTATAATTTTTTAAAAAATAATGCTTTTAATTGTAGTAACTGACTATGCTAATATTAACCTGAGGGATAGGCCAGTGCTTGTAAACCTTGAATGTGAATCACCCAGGGGTCTTTGCAGACAAGCATGCTTGCTCTGACTCAGTGAGAGTGGAGGGAGAAGAGACTCTGCTCTTTTCTCCTTGGGGCCCCTTGGGCCAGATCCCCAGTGACACTAGCTTATCATTCCAGCTCCTCTCTGCTTCTGTGATAAAATGCTATGACAAAAAGGAACTCTGTGGAGGAAAAGCTTCATTTCTTCTCACACTACCCAGCTAACTAACAAGGACACCTACATAAAAGCATCACTCAGAAAATACACAGGGGTTACACCAGGACTATATTGTATAATTTATTCTTACAATAAAATAAATGCATAAGTATGCATTAACTGAAGCTAGTACACAAGAGCCACACTTTGAATTAAACATTCTACAATGTTGATTAACTAATTAATTAACTGATTGTAGCTTGAATGGTTATAGAGAGTTTGAATGTTGCAGACCAAGACCCAGTGTATCTTGGGTTATGTAAGCCCATCTCTATGTGTGATCTAACATCTTTGGGGTGTATAGAGCAGCCCAAAGGCTAATAATGACATCAGATTGCATCTGAGATCTACAAAAGAAGTTTCTCACTTTGCTGTACCCACTTGCCTGAAGTTTCTACCTGTGTATTTGAAAAGTCTGCGGATTTATGAACTGTTCCGTTGTTCTGATACTATAAAAATGTCATGAAACCACATAGGCACGTGGATTTTGGCATAATCTGAATCACCGAGTTGCTTGGTCATGGTCACCCATGTTTGGTCTTAGAATGAACTATCTTTTACTCCCTTTGAAGTGAGACTTGTATATTTTGTGTCAACCTAAGCATACACATAAAAAGAAAATTAAAACAAAGCCATATTTATGTGATACTAAATATTAAGAGATGTAGGATCGTGGGGGAATTTTTGTTGTCTTTTAATCTATCTTTGTAAACTTTATAATATTTTCTTAATTTTTTTCTAGATGAGCAAACTTTTTCTCATTTTCTTTCTCCCTTTTCTTTTCTTCGTCTCTTTTCTTTTCTGTAGGCCTCCAGATTGCTGCAATTAAAGGCTTATGCTACCACACTGGACCCCAACAATCTATTTTGAAAATAAAACTTTTTCTTTCTTCTTTTAAGGGTCATTTTCAGTCCTGAACAAATGTCTCAGCGATTAAGAGCTCTTTCTGGGTTAAGTTTCGATGACCTGCACGAAGGCTTACACCCACCTATACTCCAGTTTTAGGGCGTCTAATAGTTTCTTTTGCTCTCCGTGGGCAGCTGGTAGGCACAATAAACATATACACATGCAGGCAAACACTCATACACAAAATAAATTTAAAATTTAAAAAATTTAGAAAAAAAAAGAATCACAGTGAGTTTTAATATCAAAACCTGGCAAGGCTCCTCAGTACAACAAGCAAGTCAAACACAATCAATAGCATGGGTAATGATAGGTGTGGAAAAGGAGATTAAAGAGAGGGGGCAGTCAGAGAATCTGGAACACACTGTCATCCCATTATGCGGGAGGCTGAGGAAGATGTCCAGTTCAGTCATCACAGGCTAGACATCAAGTCCAAAGCAAGCCTGGGATACACAGCTAGACACTGTCTCAAAATAAATATATATATTGATTTAAAAAACAGAGGTAGGCACTGGCCTGATCATGGCGGTTATGTTACTCTGACATTTGTCGCAGTCTATTGTGTTCAGATGGCCCTCTGGGAGTCTTTGGAACAGTTTATCCAACAAAGACAATTTCAGACGAAGTCAGTTTTCTGTGAGGTAGAGGTTAAGTCAAAGAGCCACGACCCAGTCATCCTGAGAGATGCCGAGACCTGGTCATCCTGAGAGATGCCGAGACCTGGTCATCCTGAGAGATGCCGAGACCTGGTCATCCTGAGAGATGCCGAGACCAGGTCATCCTGAGAGATGCCGAGACCTGGTCATCCTGAGAGATGCCGAGACCTGGTCATCCTGAGACATGCCTTAATACAGAGGACAGGTTTGGATGTTCTTCCAAAGACTCTTGTGAAATGGAAAGTGTTCTTGCTCTTCACCTGTAAGGCAAATCAAGACAGGTCAGCAACTACTTTTCGCTTTCAATGTGATGTCTATTTAAAACCAGTAAACAAGTTGCAGAAAGCTAACTGTGGGGGCGGGGGCTAGGTAGAAAAGTAGTTTTAAAATGATTTTTCAATATGGGGCATGATGGCGCATGTCTTCATTCCCAGCACTCGGAAGGCAGGCAGATCTGAGGCCTGTCTGATTTATATAAAGGGTCCCAGGCCAACCAAGACTACATAGCAAGACCCCATCTAAGCTTCAACTGCCCAGGAGGCAATGAAAGCTTTCAGCCCCTCTATTCATTCAGCATAGTGACTGTGGTCCTTCCTCTAGTCTTAGCTGAGGACCCCCACACAGTGTAGAAATAATTTCTAAGGAATTTGGGAAACGGGTGTGCTGATCCATTAAAGATGGAAAAAGCTAAAACCTCTAGTTCATTTTCATTATTTGTTTTGTTGTTGCTTGTTTTGTTTTTGATTTCTACACTACATGATTATTTAAAAAGCTGAATCCTGGTTAGGGGAAAAATGGGTTGAATGATGTAGTACTACACTAGGCATCCTAGGAGTCAGGGCTAAGCGCGTGTATTGCATGCCAGGCCGTATTCTAAGTATCTTAACTAAATCCCACCTCAAAAGCTCAGCATTTCCTCTCCCTACTTAACAAGTAAAGACATAAAGATTAGGCACCTTGCCCAAGGTTACTAGTTAACAAAGGGTTGGTAGGAGCCACAAAGCTCCAGAGCCTGCCTTCTGATAGCTGAAGGATGCTACTCTTCTGGGTCAATTGCAAAAGACGGTTGTTTTTCTTGTCTCCATTCAATGCTCAATCATGTAGAACCAATCTCATAAGAGCAGAGAGGCCACCTGCCAGTCATGATTAACCTTACAAAGAAATCAGTCAGAATTTCCACAAAAGGAGAAGTTATTGGGAGCTCAACATCACATTTTCAACTACTCTACAGATCTGCGAATAAGATCAAGCACTAATGTCCTTCCTCAGGGAAACTCTCGGGCCTGAGAACTGCTAATGGTGAATCTCCATCAGGTAGGCCTTGCAGGATGCGGGGATAAAAACGGCGCTCATACTTTTCCTAAATCTGTGTTAGAAACCCATGGTACCCTCAGATGGGTCCACTTTTGAGACAGGGTCTCTGGGTGCAGCACAAACTGGCCTAGAATTCAAATTCTCCTGCTTGGGCATATTTGAATCTCTAGAAGTAAGACACAGTGAAGGTCATCCAGGAATCTTTAGGAGGGAGATGACCACATTTCTTGTCTACTTACGAAGTACATGAAAACACTTGCTAATGAGCTACACAAGCTATTGACCTCTAGGGCCAACTAAGCTCTTCGGTTAAAGAGGGATGCTGTCTGGCCAGGCAGAAGATAAAAGGTGGATCGGGTGATTGATTGAAGGCAAATCAAGCTGGGTCTGAAGACACATGAAAGGACTAGGTAAGAGCAGCTGTTCCAGCTTCACCCCAAAGCAGAGCCCCTCTCCTTTGTGACCTGTCTGTAACCAAATACCCTCCCATAGGGGCCTGTTGAGCCCTCACCTCTCTAAGAGCTTTGTTGTGCTCCTCAGAGTTCCAAACTACGTCCCAGTACTAAAGACTTAATAATGATGTGGAACTGGAGAGATGGTTCACTGGTTACAAGTACTTGCTGCTCTTGCAACGGACCCAGGTTCAATACCCAGCACCCACACCGTGGTTCACAACCACCCCTAACTCCCATTCCAGGGGATCCAATGCTGAGTTCCGAGAGCAGTGGGCACACTAGCGGTGCACACGTACATGCAAGCAAAACACTCACATAAATAAGATAATGAAGTTTTTTCTTTTAATGCTAGTGTCTAATGAGAAAAGGAATCCACTTAAAAAAATCAAGTGTTAGCCTTCAGTCATTTTAAGCACAGAGTAGAGTTTGGAGAGAGGGCTCAGTGGTCAAGAGTGCAGGCTGCTCTTGCAAAGGACCAAGTTGGATACCAAACACTAAATTCCCCAATTCCCAATTTCCTGTAGCTCCAGCCACAAGGAGCTCTGGCCTCCAGGCACCTCCCAACACTCACAGGCACATACATCTAATTGAAGACAATAAGAATAAAACAACTTAACCCAGCAGAGTTCTCGTCAGTTCAGTCTTAACTACAGATCTTAGTAGTTAAAAAATGTGGGTGTCTGGATAAGAATGGGGCATGTTTCTTTCTGAACAGAAAGAGCGGAGGAGCATATTGGGGGTGGAGTGGGGAATGGGAGGAAAGGAGGGAGGGGAAACTGGTTGGGATGTAAAATAAATAAATAAATAGATTGAATTAAAAAACAAACAAACCAAAAAGAATAAAGCATACAACCACTTATGACGTATTGCATACAGAATGTCTGCCTCACTTATTAAACAGTAAGTTGGGTTAGATGCCCTCTGGGATAAAAGGCCTGTTCTCAGGCCAATCCCCAGCACACAGAAAACCCACCCTCCCACCCCAGTCTTTCTTTCCCTTGCTCCTTTTCTTCTTAACACGGAAATATGAAGGGCCTGAGAGGAAGTTGCACACCAGTGTATAGAATACCTGGAAACATTTTGCTTCACTTCCTGATTCGTTTTATTTCATTTTTTCTATATATTAAAAAAAATAAAACAATGTTGTTAAGACTTTCAAAGCAAGTCTCTCTGCATCTGCTCCACACAATATACATACATCCTAGATTGAAGACCTCAAACTTGACTTGTGCTTTTGGGTGCTTAACAGGAAAGAGATGCAGACAAACACTATGACTTGCCTCCAAAAACACCAAGAACTGAATTGACTAAGGTTTTGTGCTTTTGAACTCCCACGTTCCACCAATGTAAAAATACCTTTTATACCTTTTATTCTCTTAAAGGCTGTCAGACACTGACGCCACAGAGGAAGTCTAAAACTGCTGAGAGTAGGTTCTTCGAGCGTTTTCTCGCATCCCTAGCCCTGGAACAATTCTCGGGTTCGGATCTTTGGCGACGAATTATCCTCCCATAGCAATGCGGGGTACATCCAGGTTCTGCTCTCGCCCCAGTGCCACACAAACGATGTCAATCACTCTGGGTGCGAAAGGTGACTGCGGTTACAGAGCGCTCCTTGGTCCTCGTAGTCATCTGACCCTTGGTCCACTCAGTCCGCTGCACCTCCTGCGTCTCATGGTAATCCACGACCCGCACCAACACGGACCTGGGGGTGGCTGCTGGGCTCCGAGCCTGGGCTCCGGGGACCGTGGCAATGCGCCTGCGGGAAAGCTTCGGCTCAGATTCCGAATAGCGGCGGTCTTCAATCCTCGGTCGGAAGTCCTCGCTATCCACCAGCTCTGCGCAAGCAGGGTCCGCTTGTGTTCCCAACCACCTCTCGGGGTTCAGAAGAAAGAGCACTTTCTCTCTGACCCAGGACTGGCAATCCAAATTCTCTCGCGTCCGCGATCTCACGTCCCCACCTGCCGCTGAGAGGTCCCTGTCGGTCTCCGACGGCGTGGGAACCGGAGCGCAGGGATCCACGGGCGGCCCAGCCCCGACCCCGCGCGGAGAGCACACGGCCCGCCCCCGGAATCTCCCGGGCTCGATCCCGGCGAGCGGGTCATTCATACGTCCTCGCTGCTCCAGTTCTCAAAAGAAAACTCCAGCTCTGCTCAGAAAATCGCGGGCGGAGTAGGCACTGGGTGTGGCCTGAGCGAGTCACAGACTATAGGATCAGCCCCAGGCCAGGCTAGATGAGGATTCCAGCCTCCTAGCTTGATCTCCTTTCTCAGCCCTTAAACCTCAGGGCTCCTCACCTGTTCAAACAGAATCTTGGCGCCTTTTGGCCTTAGAGCCAACTTTTTTTTTTTTTTTTTGATGTGTTTTGCTCCAGTTCCACTACTGCCTAGTAAGGTCTCCACCTGCCCTCACACCCGTGTCCCTTTTCTCCAAAACTGAAATGAGAGGCACTTGGGGCACCTTCTCAAACTCTCAAACCATTATTCCTTATTCCTTTCCATGGATGTCCAGCATGAAGGAACAAGTACGTTTGGTTTTCAATCGTGTGGTTTAATCAAATTCTGAAAGGATTTGTGTCCACTTTCAATTCTCCCCAAGGCTAGCATACCTCCAAGTCTGTGGAACCCAGGTCATGGGGTGATGTTGAAGCAACTGAAGTCTTAGAAAACAGAGCTGTTAGTTTGTACATTTCCTTTGGAATGCCGGGATGTGTGGGGACAGTGGTCAACTCCGTCTGTGTTTTGGTTGTTACTGTCACTTACCTCAGAGAGGCCTAATGCCTTTGACTTCAAACCCTCCTAGAAGAGAAACAGAACAAAACATATCGCTTAAACGAGTTTCGGAGTTTATCTTCTTGTACCTTTGTAGACCTCCTCCTATTCACCTATCCTCTCCTTCTTTAACCCCCCAGATAATACATACATGCATCCGTTCCCATGTCTGCATATATGGGTAAACCTGTGGATACCCAGGGTCAGGGCCTATGCCACATTAGTCTGTGCTGAGTTGGTGGAGAACTCTAGCCAACAGGAGAAAAAGCTCATATGTGAAAGTCCTAGTCCGTCCCTGGTAACACCTGTTTGTTTGACTCGATAGTAGTGTTTCCCTGTCTGCTTCATCAAAATGACCACAACTGTGGGAATTCCTGTTCTCACAAGATAGGCTGAACAACGTGGTGAAACAGACGTCTTGGTATCAGGGTAGAGTCTGGCTGATTAGACCTTGTTGTGGTCTGGCTGGCCGCTACTATTCGACGTTTATCATTCTTGCGTGCTTCAGATGAAAATAGCTCATAGCACTTTAAAGTCAGTTATCTTTTTATAATGAAATAAGGAAGTAATATTTCTTTGGTATCTTTGGGGATTTTGAATCTTTCTGACCCTGGTCAAACACTGATACAGTGGAGCCTGGTTTCTGTTATGTTTGTATGTTTGTTCCTGACTGTTCTCTGAAGTATCTCCTTATAAGACTATAAGGCTCTGTCCTGTTCAGAAACTTAGCCAGGAAGTACCTCATGTTGCTGAATGCCAGGAGCAGGGTGATGGGACCTTCAGAGGAAGAAGCCAAACTGCTTATCTCTAGAGTGTGCGTCCCTGGAGGGAGAGTGACGTAATCACCCAGGAGTCATAGACAGGAACTCAGCTGTAGTGTAGAGGAGAATCATGTGCAGATCATCTTTCTGACCTATGCTCACAGACTTAGTTTCCATGGGTTTGGAGTCAGGCTTTGAACACTGACTGTTAGCAAAGCCCTCAGTAATTTTGATGCTGGTGGGTGGTCCATGGCCATAATGGGAAACATGCCACAAATGCACAGCAGCTGCACATGCTTGTACCACCTCAGTGCAAGAATGGGCCCTTTAGCCGGGCAGTGGTGGCACCCATCTTTAATCCCAGCACTCGGGAGGCAGAGGCAGGAGGATCTCTGTGAGTTCGAGGCCAGCCTGGTCTACAGAGCAAGTTCCAGGACAGGCTCCAAAGCTCCAAAGCTCCAAAGAAACCTGGTCTCAAAAAAAAAAAAAAAAAAAAAAAAAAAAAAAGAATGGGCCCTTTACAGTTAGGCAGGGGTACAGGAGGGGCTCTTGGGGCCCTAATCCTCACTGCTAAACCATTTGATACTGAATGATTTACAGAGGAGGAAAATCATTGTCTTCATATCTTCATATGTATACATGGTGGTGACTCTGTAGGGCTCCAGTGAATAATCCCATCTAATGTTCATACATATGGCCCTGATTGAAGTAAATGGATCAAAACCAGTCAGGTCTGAGAACATACACACAAGTAACATTATACAGACGAAGCACAGCTTATATTTAGGAAAACACATTTATATATGTGCAGCATGCACATATATGCATGCTGCAACAGTAAATGGGTAAATAGGCCCTTAATTGGAAAGTAAGCATGAAAGTGTATGTGAGAATGATTGGAGAAAGGAGGAAAAAGGGAGAAATGATGTGTTTATATTATCATTTCAAAAATAAAATTTTTAAAAGAAAGTAAGAAGCCATAAACCTGAGAAAGGTTGATAGGGACAGGAAAGAGATAGGAATGGAAGAGATTACAGGAAGGGCATAAGGAATAGAGTAATGAAAATACATTATATGCATTTATGAAATTGTTAAAACCCTAGGCTTCTTTTGTTTTTTGAAGAGTCAAGGAGAACACTGTTCATTCCTTCTTTTCAGGAAAATTGGGAGAAACCTAGTGTTGTGCCCAGTCCGTGAGGACCCCAAAAGATCACCAGGGAGACAGACTCACTACATGCAAAAGCAAGGTTTATTGTGTGCACAATACAAGCTGGTAGGGACTTCATCACAGCGACTGGTGACACAGCAGAAAGAGGACACGCCCTGCCCTTCTAGAGGGCATTCATTAAACTCAGAAACTTTACATTATCTTTACATTATCAGAAACTTAATGTAAACTTTACATTATCAGAAACTTTTCAAAACTCAGAAAAGTTACATTATCAGAGTGTGGGATGATCGCTTCAATTCTGATTGGCTCGTGTCTAGGGACTTCTCAGGAATTTTATTTTTGAACCTTGCCTGTTGCTTATCAAGTTTTCTTATCGGCTGAACTTCGGATGAGGACATTCGGCAGTTTTCTGGACTATCCAGAAGGCTATCCTGTTACTTTTGCCCCAAGCCATTTCTGAGGACTGGAACATTTTACAGGAAATGGCTTACACAAGGCACAAGATGGGGGTGGAGGACAACATGGAGGATCTTTGGTTCTTCATTCCCCTCTGTTCTAGTAACTATAGTGAACCCAGTCATGGGTTCCTGACTTACCTCGAGTATCTTCAGTCCTAAGGGGTCTGCAGATTTGTGGTCTCTGGGCCATAAGTTGTATTGTACCCAACTTGTCTTTCATGAATTTTACTCTTTGTTTGAGAGTGCAAGGCCCAAAAGTCAGTAACAAAAGTAGAATTACGAGGGGTCCTGATAGAGTGGGGATGAGAGTGGTAAACCAAGGGGAGCCATTAAACCAGGTAAACCTGGCTGGCTTCAAGTTCTCTTTTCCACTTTGCCAACCCTTTTTTAACTTTAGCCATATTGTCTTTGATTATTCCCAAATGATCAGTGAAGAAACAACATTCTTCCCCTAGAGCTGCGCAGAACCCACCCTGCTTTAAGAAGAGAAGATCGAATCCCCTCCTGTTCTGCAAGACTACCTCCGCCAGGGAGGATAAGGACTCCTCTAGCAGGGAGACAGATTTTTTTATGTGCTCTATATGCACAACTATGGCCACACATAGATTAGAATAATATTGATTCTGGGTTACTAGTCCTGAGATTCCTATACCCAATCCCCCTAGACTAGCGCCTAAAGGTAGCCAAGGATGAGGGCTGTCCTAGACTCTGTCTTACGTCTCCATAGCCGTGAGGACTGGCTCCATCCTTGCTGTACGAGGTCTAGGAACTCCTGATCAGTGTGATAGCTTATTCTCAGAACAAGCCTGACTAGTACACAGTATCCTCTGGCCTGGTGTATCAACAGGCAATTTAGGTAGTCATTTTGTTCCCCATGCCAGGGAGTTCCCCCTTGTCTCAGCATTTCAACCTATTCTGGGAAGGAAAATGAGACAATGTGTTCTTTTCTATAACTACTTTGAGCTGACATTGGGGTGTTGTTGTTAGGGTCCAAGTAGGCTGAAAGGCTAGCCAAAGGTAAGGAGGGAATTATGCAGTGGGGCACTCATCAGAAGCATCTGGTTCGCAGACTCTGTTGAAGAGACAGGGAGCATTCACATCAGCTGCACTGGTCCACATCAGCTTTCAGCAAGGCCAGGGCTTGCAGTCGTTCAGAGCAGGTTGTAGTCAGCAATTGATGCTTAGATGTATGTGCCAGTCAAGTGGAAACCTATTGAGAGAAGTTTAAACTAGAAACTACAGATTTTGATTAGAAACGTGTATTTTTCTGCTGTCCAGACAGTCATGTATGGATTGGACAGAGACATCTTTGACCTGATGAGAAACACCTTTGAGTTCATATTTAGATGGCAGCCAGAAAAAAATCTAAAATCTCGAGCTTATGACCAAACAGTAACTAGTCATTTCTCTATCAGCTTATCATAACTATAATTTAGAAGGGGAAAGAAATTAGAAACATTTTCCTGTGTTTACATCTTAAACCATTTTTAGACCCACAACGCTTATGAGCTTTTATATCCTCAGACCTTTATATATCTTAAAACATTTTTTTTTAAGTCAAGAGACCTAGTAGCTTTAGCAAAAGCAAAACTTGATTTTTGTATCTATAAATTTAGTTGACAAGCTGGCTAAAGCTTTGTGGAAGCATCTGGATTCCTGTTGCTGCTAAACTGACATTATAGCTGGCCTAGCCATCAATACTCTCAGTGATCTTAGAAGGATAAATAAATTATACCTGAGTACAGATTAAACAGCTTCCAAATCTACTAAAAATGACGGGGACCAGAGTCCATATACAGTTAGCCATACCCAGGTTTCCATAGCATTGGAGGCAGAAGGATCAGAACGGCAGTCTTAAAGTCTTAGCCAGGCCCATAAGTTGTTTCTTTTTCCCTGTGGAGGAGGGACATGGAAAAGACTGACCTTATTTTGTCTAGGCAAAAGTGGTGCAATTAATTCTCCAATGTCCTGCTGTCTGTCCACAGTCTGGACCGGGTCCTGGCAGTAGAAGTTGCACTGGGGCATCCCGCCCAGTGGTCGGTATCATTATTATCCAGGTAGAGACTTCACAGTGTCCTGTAATCTTCTTTGGAGCCCTTGGGTGCCTCGTAAGATCTGGGAGTATCTATCTAATATAATAAGCTTTTTGTTCATAATTTTAAATGCCATATTC